CTTAAGCTTTATCTATATATTATTAATTATTATATTAGGCTTTAATTAGAAGTATATAATTTACCTAATATCTTTATATATAGTATAGGGTTTAGATTATTTATATTTTATATAAAGCTTATCCTATTTCTAATTAACTTTATTAAAGTCCTTAATAAATTCCTTATCTATTCCCTTAATATAAATTATAATATAGTATAGTACTTTAGCTTATACTACCTTATATACTACTCGTCTCTTAATATTCTAATAGCTTACTAAATCCTTAATATTCTTTCCTTTAAATAAGCTTTATATTCTAGTAGTAATATCTTTAATAGTACTACTTATACTTATTAATTATAGTATTAGTATAGTGCTAGCTTTTAGTATTTATATATATTATACTTTAGTCTCTTATAATATAAAATCTAGTAATTCTCTAATAAAGTAGAGCTTAAGGAGCTTAAAGTAAGTCTATTAGTTATCTTTTATTAAGATTAGTACTTATCTCTTCTTTATTAATTAATTAAGATTTATATCTATAATTTAAAGTATATTTAAGTAAGAATATAAATATATTTAATATATACTTTTTTGAATTAAAGAGGGACTAGGCCTTATCGAGTAAGGCTTAGGGTTAAAATAATATATAAGAAGTTATATAAATTTTTTAAAATAAATATAGTTTTTAGACTATTATATTATAGTCTATAGTCTTAGTAATTAATTAAATAAGGGTTTATTAATTAATTATTTACTACTAAGAGTATTCTACTTTTATTAAGTAGTCTTTATTCTTATTCGTAAATCCGCTATATATACTAAGTACTATTATTAATACTATATACTTATTTATAAGTCTTTTACACGTTAAGCTACCGCCCTCTATAAAGACTAGTTCTCTATAGTCTTATAGACTAGTTCTATAGTCGTCTTATTTATAACCGTTTATATATATTAAGGTATTATACTCTATTTTATTTAGAGTCTCTTTAATTACTTATTACTCGATCGACTATTAATAAGCTTCTAGGAGTAATTTAATTAAACTACTATTCACGCTCCTTCCTAAGGCTAAAGCTAGGCTTATAACCTTTTAAAGGGTATAAGATAAGAGATATAAAAGGTAAGTAAATATAGATAATACGACTAGTTTAATTAAATAGAGTTACTTATTAAAGACACTTATTTTATAGAGTATATATAGGCGTTAGGGACGTGTATACTAAGGCTCGACTATATAAGCTAAGCACGTATACACGTGACTCCTTTCCTAAGACTAGCTTAAGAACTAAGAGAGCTATATACTCTAGAACTCTTAATATATCTCTTAGTAATTATAAGTAATAAGAGTAATAATTTAAACTTAAAGTTAATACTTAAATTATATAATAATAATAATAATAATAATAAGTTATAAGTATACTTATATAAGTATTCTAAATATATAAAGTAGTACTATTAATAGAAAATTATATAGAGAATATTAAATAATAATAAAAAGAGCTTATAATATAATTTAAAAGAGTTATATAAAATATTATTATTATAAAAGTTAATATTAAAGTAATATTATATATTTAAGCTTAAGCTAAAAATATAAAGGCTAATATTATAAAGGATTTATATATAATTAAGTAAGAAAATATAAACTTAAATTAAGAAATTATTATAAAATATAATTAACTTATAAATAAAAGAGATAAAGCCCTTTAGATTCTATTAGATTATATTTAAAAATAGATTATATTATAAGAAGTAAGAGTATAATTAGAGTTAAAGTTAATTTAATATATTAATAAAAAAGTTAATATTAGATTAACTTTAAGTTTAAAATAATACTTTTAAATTAATATTTAAACTTTAATAAATATAAATAATATAATATATTAGAAAAGTTTACTAATATATATAATATAAGATAAGAGATTAAGTAAAGTATATTATTAATATAAAATTATATTAATTTATTTAATTAAGAGTTTAAAAAAGAAAGAGTAAGTAATTTATTAAAGTAAATCCCTTAATACTCTTATTGCCTTAAGCTCTCTATTAATTAACTAAAACTAATTATATTAAGTTTATTAATATTTTTTATATTATAAAATAAAAGGAAAGAGAAAGAATTATAAAAGAAAGAGAAAGGGATAACTAAAAGAGAGAAATATATAAAAAGGAAGAGAGGGAAAGAGGAAAAGGAAATATAAAAGTAGGATAAAAAATTAAAAAAAGAGAAGGAAGTAAGTATAAGTAAGAGTATTTATTATATATATATAATTATTTCTAAATATTATCTTTAAAAGTTTTTATATTTTAAAAAGGTAAAATATTTTAAAGATTAATTAAGTAGCCTTTTAATTTAAAAGCTTTTTAAGATATTTAATACTTAAAATAATTACTTTTAAAAATATATTATATTTACTTACCTTAGAAGGAGGTATAGAGTAAAATCTATAAGAGATTACGAGTATATACTTTAATTATTTTATAAAGTATAAGACTTTAAGTATAATTACTTAAATAACTAAAAGCGACTATTAGAAGAAGAGAATTATTACGAGATTTAAAGCCTAATATAAAGAGTGCCTCTAATTTAGATAACCTTAGTTAAATCTCTTTATCTAAATTATTATATAAATAGTAATAATACTTTTATTATACTAAATAATACCTTTAATAAATAATATATACTCTATATTTCCCCTAGTGCTTATTATAATAAATTAAGATAACGACGATATAAAACACAATAAGGGATTTATACTAGAGGAAATTTAAGTAGGGAGCTCTCGAAAACTTAGGAGTAACGAGCCTATAGTTATTAGTCTATACTCTATAAGGCATTTTACACCTAGATAAAATTATTAAGTTCTTAAAAATAATAATAATAACTAATTAATAGAAACTTTATCTAATTTAATCGCGATATATAATAACTTAGTAATAATAACTATCTTAGTAGCTTTAAACTTTTAAGGTAATAGTTATAACTCTTAGATTTTAAGCCTTAAACCGGGTTTAGCGAGGCTCGGAAAATGCCCTATAGAGTATAGACTAATAACTATAGGCTTATAAGATAGTAGTAGGAATAGAAGCTTCGAAGGTAGAAAAGAGGATAGGGGGAGGTTAGATAAACGGGAAGAACGATTAGTTCACAAAGAATAATGCTACTATCTATCGTCTAGATGAGGAAGAGGGCTCGACCGACCTGACTAGAGCTTTACAAAAGCTTGAGATTTATGTGCCTCTATTAGGAACAATCGCAGATCGTGCTTTAGAGTACACCCAAGCTCAGGATTTTGCGCTGCAGAAGTACAAGCCAACTTAGACTAGGATTCACATCCAGTTCACTGATAGACTTATACGCACATTCGATGCTATCAACCTCCTCCAGCTCACTGAAAACGAGCAAACACGAATACTGCAAGGCTCGCCAAACAGGAACGCATAGTCACTTTTGCGTAATATTGAGTTTGGTCGTGCCTTGATGTTCTCCCCAAACTTCCAGACAATGATACAAGAGCACCAAAAAGCACTGTTAAACTACTGGGGACTCGACGTTGGTCACACCGCCACTTGCTTAACGATACCCAACGAATGAAATGCCTCGACTCCAGAGACACTTCTCAGTATGTGGCAGAAGAACACTTGGGAGATTTTGACCAGATTTGTTCCGAAGGCAAGAAATGGCCCAATACTACGAACATACCAGCGATGCTTTTTTCGAGCCGATGGCAACAGATTGAGAGACCATGGGATTAAGGATAAAGTCTCATTTGACTCCACCAAAGCAAGAGTGTTTGTGCAAGTTGCACTCGCGTCCGACGGGAGAATTCAGGACGTTGACAGGAAAAAGCACGCTTCCCACATGTGTGGCAACCCGCACTGCCAGATTCTGGAACACATTGAAATGGAGGACCCCGATTTGAACTACCAATGCGATGCATGCAGGTCCAGAGGGATCGCTTGGCGAAAAGAAGGCAAGGAGGTGACGTGGAACTGTGGCGTACATGGGGAGGGAGTGCCAGACTGTAAGATGCAATTGATGGTACTGACAGAGGTTGAACGCATCAACTTACAACTTTCCCTCTCTCTTGGCCGACCCTTGGAAATACTGATAGAAGATCCCAACCACCCATACCCAACCAAGGTAACCAGCTTCGAAGATTTTGATGGGGGGTTCAACTTTGGTGAGAAAGACTAGGCTTTGAACGACTCGGTGGTCCGTTTCTATGGTGAAAAGCACGAAGCTGAGATGTCCGGAGTGCAATGCCCAATCTGTTCAAGACACTGGCTCGTAGCTTCACCGGCGGTATTCAATCACTTGGTTACTGAGCATTCGGACGACGAACGATTCGTTAGTGCGAGTGTAGAGTTCGCCAAGACTTGTGCTGCAGCTCCCAGAAAGCGTTCACGCCGCGGCGGCAAGCAGCGACATATCACCAGCGTCATGGGAAAGATTGCAGAGTCCCTTCTGGCAGCCACTGAACTTGACAAAGAGCAAGTCAAAGCGATTATTAAAGGGGGCCAGAAGGAGCCAAAGAAGAGGTACTCCGACAAGAAGACCGCAGATCAGAAGGGCGACGAAGATGATGCCAAGGAGGATGGAGACTGGGAGGAGGAGGAAGTTGGAAACGAAGAGAACGAAGCATGGGAAGGCGATGAAGGCGATGAAGGCGATAGCAAGGAGACTGGATATGTTTAGATTGAATCGCAATTAGGCGCGGCAGAGCCATGGAGTTTGGAGGGAAGGCTGCGGAGCTTTGAAATTGAAAATTGGGCGAAGAACGGGAATGAAACAAACTAAGCCAATCCTGAAATCAAGATTTAGACGCTGGCGGAGCAATGAATCAGCAGATAAAGTGCTTTTTGCTTAGCATAGACGCACTTCAGGTCGGCTTTTGATCAGTGTTCTGCTCATCTGCTCATAGGCTCGCTAAAATAGCCAATCCGTCTGCCCTGTTTATGAATGACTTTAATATATCTAAATAAGCGATTTTTTGCTAAATAATTTCACGGGCCTGATAGTTCAGTGGTAGAATTCTTGCTTTGGGTGTTCTTCGGACGCACAAAATTGTAAGAGGTCTCCGGTTCGATCCCGGTAAGGACCAAACATGACTCCCATATTTGAAAAAATCTAATAGATTGATAGGATTAGGCCCCTCCTAGAGCATATATATATTTTTTGTGTTGTCTCCCTGTCAAATAGACTTTTTTTACTCGTAGAGTAGATGAAAAAGCGTTGGGCCAAAATTGGCGTTCCTCGCCTCGCCAAATTTTGTTCCCAAGGAGGGGACGAATCAACTCCATTCTTATATATCGAAGAATGTGTGCATCTCTTTTGGTTTGGGTTTGTTTGGGCCTAGTGGGTCATTCTTGAGAAGAAAATCGAAAGTGAACTTAAAGGGGCGTCTTGTGAAAATCTCAAAGAATATTTTTTGGGGCAGCTTTATTTTCTGAGCCCACAAGTAGCGTCAGACCTGAAGGGTTCAATTGCCGTACCAGACATTTCCTACTGCCACTGCCAGCGCCGGGCATATCAATCGATGCAAAATAAAACCAATAATCATTTAAAGCCCAGGCTAAAAAATCAATTAAGCTAAGTAATCAAATTAAGGCTTCTCTATGTTCCTTCTCAAAAAATTTTTGCGGCAGAGCTCGCGAACTAACTTTAGAAGAGCTTTGAGAGCTTCGTTCCTCTCCCTACTATCCTTTCATGTTTTTTACTCGTATTCTCTCTAGTGACATTGTCATTACTGCCGCGGCCACGAAATTCTTGTAACTCACAAGCAATCGATGTCTTCTCATCTTCAGCATCCGCCGTCTCGCGTATGGCAGCCTCTGTCGGTTGCGTTCCGAAGTCACGTAAATCACAGGATAAGTCAGATTTGGGGGTAATGATGATTTAGATTTTGATGTCTAAAGAACTAAGAGAGGCTGAATAAAGAGATGCCTTATATGCTGTCGATCGGAGCTAGTCTCAAGGGGGAGAACTGGGGGGGAGCCACACACGTGATACCAACTGACAGCGTCCGCTTTCAGAGCAGCCTCGTTGAACGCTAGTTCTACAGCGTTGAGTTTGTCAGTGAGATCCCTGGCCCGCCTTCACTACATTTCTAGATCAATTTAGAAGGGCGTCGAAGATTCTACTCCTCTAGTTTAAGACAATAAATCAAAACTCCCTACAACAGACGCCCGGATTAGGCCCGTTATTTGATTTTTTTTTTGATTCTCTCTAGAGTAAGGGACAACCAAATCTTCATTTTCGATTTTACTAAATACATGTATGTCTACTTCTCGTTCTATTTATGTCTTCGATTGTTTAATTAATGTAATAACATATTTCCTTACCTTAGGTTTTTGTTCAGATTTCCTTTATCTCTAACCATTATAGTGGCCCTCGAGAAAATATATATTCTAAGCCTTGCACCTTTTATGCGTTTCACGCTCTTTGACTTATCAACCCTAGTAAGTTCTCTGGAATTTGCTATGAAACATGATTAGTTGATCTGTGCCAGCCAAGCAGAGAATAAAGCAGCATCTGCGTCTGTATTATCGACACACGAATACTCCAACTATAGTTTTACTTGAGGGACTACTATAGCTCTGATATAAATTTCCACTGCTTTGATTTAAGCTATTTGAACCTGATGAAAAATTTCAAATATGAATAATTCCGACCTCTAAACTATTACAAAACTAGAGATGTGCCAGAGTATTTCTAACAAAATCTGGGAGGACTTCAATCGAAACCTGTTTATGCAGTTTCAACCTTCGACATTGAACCTCACATTTCCTCTCTGTTTTCCACCTTCTCCCCACAACTACAATTACAGGATAGCCCACCAAATCTGCATCTTGTATTTTCCAAGGAAATGATTCAGCCCGGTCATCAAGGATCAAATCTAGCTCTGAACTATCCATCATTGATGATTTGCTGCGTAAAGTATCGTATACTTCTAAGGCAGCTTCGTCTAAACCTTTGCCTGAGATGATAACAACCTCAAATGGGGCTATCACCCGCGGCCAATTCAGACCTTTATCATCAGCAAGTGTCTCTGCAATGGCTCCTACCAGACGTGATAGACCAATACCATGGCAACCCATCTGTAAAGGCACTTGATTCAAACGAGGCCCTTCACCGCCCACGAAAGCTTCTGAGTTGCCTGCTGGCACGTCTACAGTTGCTGAAAGAGGTTCGCTGTATCGTGTACCGAGATGAAAGGTATGGCCGAGTTCTATCGCCTTCTGAACCTTTAATTTACCATCAGAGCAGCGAGGGCAAGAGTCTCCAGAAACAATACGGAGCAAGTTGAGTGGTTTATGGGCCGATTCGTGTTCGCCAATGGCGATTTTATTGGTGAGTGGCGGGACTGTTTCAATCGATACCGGCCAGTTTGGAATATCGGAATCCCGTGTATTGATGGTTGAAAGTACATGTTCAGGAAGACGACAATCGGTCAAGTTCAGGATCTTGGGCGGGACTGCAGACCCTTTTCCCGCAAGAGAAGTACCGTTGAAATTTTTCCACATCAAGAGTGGATCTTCTACCGACGCATCTAAATCGGGGAATACTGCTTTGACAGCATGAATGTTGACTTCCGAAACGATTGTTGTACTTGGTTCGGAAGCGTCCGGTGATGAATACCAAACATTGACAAGTGTATGTCTGTCCCGAGATATGCCTCGCCAAACATGGAGCTTAGCCTCTGGTTCGTTGGAGACTCCATCAGTCGACCCAGCTCTGTCACCATCAGTTCTGCTGCCCTGCTGTGGAACTACACCCTCTGCCAACTCCTCATTGGCAACATAATTACAACTGGAACAGCTGATGATATGATCCTCCCCTTTTGAAGTAGGGAAATGAAACTCGTGGCTCAAGTTTCCACCCATATCACCACTATCAGCCTCAGCAACTAGATATGGGAGCTTCAATTCATCGAACAAGTGAGTATATCTCTCACGGACTCGATCGTATGTTTCCAGAGCCAAAGATGGATTCAGATCAAAGGTGTAGAGATCTTTCATGATGAATTCTCGGCTGCGGAGAAGTCCCTGTCGAGGTCTTCGCTCGTCACGATATTTTCGGGCTGCTTTTGATTAGCGACATATCTGAAATTGACGGTAAAACTGACTTATTTGATACAGGCGGATGGGGAGCTCTTTATATGATTTCACAGTGCGAGAAACCAGTGATGTGATCTCTTCCTCGTGGGTAGGTGAGAGGAGATACCTCCCATCTTTCCTGTCCTTGAACCGAAAGAGCTAGACTGAAGTCAGGAGTAGTCCAATAGTCCAACGCAGAAGGAAACCAATTACCTCAGAACCAGCTTTTTCTAAACGCCCACTCTTCGACCATATTTCTTCCGATGAGATAGACGACAGGGCCAGTTTGGAAGCGCCTTACCATCATTAGCCTCGCCATTCGCGGGGAGGGGATTGCTCTCACCTAATTGGTACATGTGCTTGTCGATCAAGGCCTCTAATTTATCTTGGACTCTGCGCCCTAAAGGCAGCATGTGAAAGATGCCAGAATGTGCCTAAATACTTAACAGTAGGAAGGAAGACGGGGTACATATTACCAACTTGTCTGAGGAATCCAGCTCGAACGAGTTTCACGTGAGAATCTGAGCATGGCATTAGCTAACATCTGACGAGTTAGGGAGAGTGACAACCTTCGGGCGAAGACACAGCGATTCCCCCAGTTGGCACCCACAGTCTAGACAGTCGAGCTCTGCCATCAATCTTTCCAGTATTAGCAGTCATTTACACATCGCGTGACACAGGACTTACCGTTGCTTCACAAGCTGCATGACTGGTAATTTTCCGGCTAAAGGCGCGATTGTAGCATATATCATGCCCGATGCTGAATTGCAAAAAGCTCTGAGAATGCTGTCGTACTGCGAGAATAACTTTGGGATAGGGGTTGGACATCAAGTATTTCATATTGAACAAGCGGAGCGCGAGCTAGTCAACGTCTAAGGACTCAATGGGCTCTGTTTGCAATTAGAGACACCCGATTCCTTGCCATCTCGTCAATGTATCGAACATCTTGCTCCGTTTCGATGGCCGAAGGAAAGAAAGTTTGATGAACTGGCGTTGGGAGCCCAGGGGCACCGTGCAAGCCAGTAAGCGAGCCTGCCGAGCCTGCCAACCTTAATTTTTGTTATCTCTTATCATCGACCAAAAATTTCGATATTTTCTTCAGCCATACAGGTTTCCAAGACCCGAATGCGTGTTACTCTTTAAAGAACATGGCGCGACGTAAGACAGACCCTGCAAACGCGGACAAACAGCACGGGAATCCTGACAAAGAAGGTATCCCATCATTCGACGAGAAAGCTCTGTCGGCATTGACGGCCAGGATCGACAAAGGATTCGGCGGCGGCGGTTTCCAGCAAGCAGGAGATGGGATTCGAGCTCGAACGGGGAGTAAAGGGATCGAAAATCAGAGGCCTGTGAAGGCACAGTCGAAGACGAAACCCGCGGAAGTTGCGAGAGGCACGAAACGAGATATTCGTGGCAATGCAAAAGGAGCTGGAGGCGAGCTGCCGTCCGTGAATTCGAAGCAGAGGAATGGGAAGGGAATTGACGACCGTGCCACCCTATTGAAGGAGATATTGGCATTGGGGGGGACCGAAGAAGACTTAGACCTTGTGGCAGATGCTGTGTCGGATGAAGAAGACAATAACTTGGCCTTGCCAGACAAGTCTTTTCAGAAAGAGCTCGCAAACTTTGTTGCTGGACTTGGTATCGAGGGAGAAATTGACGAGGTTGGTGGTGATGACAGCGACAAAGAAGATGTGGCCGACGCCTGGGAGGACGCTTCAGATATGAACAGCTCAAGTGGCTTCGATGATGGAAAAGATGTTGTTGAGTCCTTGACAACGCCTCTTCACAAAAATCTCTCAGAGGATCCCAAGCGTTTAGTCAGTACTATTTCTAGAGAGTAATTGGTCTGACTGACTCCCAATAGATTTTTGAAGCGCGGCCTGATTGGCATGCTGCCCCTTTACCTCCCCTTCCTGATCCAGAGGGTGTCGATCCTGCCAAATATCGTGATGCCATTGCCAATCTGAGGGGCTATGCGTTGTCTCTTCTCGAAGCCGAC